TCCTAGCATGAAGCTGGGGGAAAAAAAAAGTATTACCAAAAATTCTAAACTAGCCGTTCCTTCCTTTCATGTTGCCGAGGGGCTCTGGGAAATACCAAAGTTTCAGTTCTCAAAACAGGAAGTTATGATAATACTTCTGTTCTTAGTGACTAATGTCAGTTTGTCCCAGTGCAGACCACTTACTTGACAACTGACATCTCCTGACACCCTAACTATGTAACTGAGATCCGAGGGGGCTCGAGGACTGGTTTTCTGGGTTTGCAGCTGTGCCAGCCCGGACCCCCTCTGCCCAGGGCGGGAGGGATAACTGTGAAGGTGGGCATCCTCGGTGCTGGTGGCACGCAGTAACCCCGTGTTCGTGATCCCCACCAGGTTGGCTTGGCAGGTTCTGGTCTCCCCCTTCAGACTGAACCAAGAGGACCTTAAAAAAAACCAGCAGTGTTTCCCTACCAAGGCTTTCCAGAACAATCACCAAGGGAGCTTTTCCAAATTGCTCCCTTTACTACGAGCCCACACCTATTCTCCAGGTGCCCGGGGGCCTGCCAGGAGAGAACCAGACGAGTAACACAGAAATCCAGGAGTGGGGCTGTGCCTCGCATAGGCCCAAAGAGAGATCCAAGCAAGGCCGGACTGATGGCTGCCAGCCCCCAGCCCAGTGCACGTCTGGGCTGCAGGGGCGCTCTGTGGAGCTGTGTGAGCTGAGCTGGTGGCCTGGCTGGGCAGCTTCTGAGTGGAATCTGGGGTAGGCAGAGAGATTGAGTGTCTGAGCCACGGTCTATGGGGCCTCTGAGAGGGGCCCGAGGCCCTTCATCGGTCAGGACCAAGCCCTGGCAACTGGGCAGTTCCGGATCTTTGGGTAGGATCCTCACCATGGCCTAACACTCTCCATCTATAAAATGGAGCCAACCCTACTTATTTGGCCAACTCCCTGGGTCCTTGTGAGGATCAAGAGAGAAAATCGACAAGACAGGGACTCTAAGTGTACAAGCTATGCCTCCGTTGTTGCCATAGCCCCAGCAAGAAGCCCAGTGCCTGCTGTGTAGTGGGTGCTCAGTGAAGGAAAAAGACCCTGGCAAGTACAAGAGGACATTATAAGTTAAACAGGGGCCTCAAATGATGTGATTGCAGTCACCTCTGGAAATCCTCCTTTCCTTCCTCTGGGTAAGGGGGACAATGGGAGGATAATGACATTTATGAAGCCCTCAGCCCAGTGAAGTCCAGTGCTTGGCACAGAGGACGCCCTCCATACATGTCAGGCAGCTTAGACTGAACTAGAGAGGGAAAGGTGAACGTGCAGTTTGTTCATTCATTCAACAAACGTTTTTCGAGCACCAGCTACGTGAAAGCATCATTGTGGACACTGGGTGTAGAGTGGCAAGCAAGACCCATTAGGTCCCTGGACCTTGGAGTCTGTAGCAGAGAAGACAAAAACAAAAACCAAAACCATGAGATACAAAAGGCAATTACAGGTTATGAAAGTGCTACGAAGGAACTAGATGGAACGGACAGGATAGAGGTGGGGGGGGCACCATCTCCAGAGGGGGGCCCAGGGCAGGTGTCTGAACTGAGACTTGAAGAATGAGGAACCAAGGGCGTGTGGTCCGGTGTCAGCGGTGTGAGAGAACATTCCAGATAGTGTGGGAATCGCAGGGGAAAAGGCCCTGAGTTTCAGGAAAGGAAGGGAGCCAGGGAGGGAGCCAGCCCGGGGCAGCCCCCAGCCCACCTTCAGCACACGGGTTGCGCAGGAGGTTCCGGCGGAGACTGCACAGGAAGTAGAAGATCTTCCAGTCGGCCACGGGCTGGTCCCAGTCCTCGGTGATGAAGCCCTCCCGCAGGCACTTGCGCTTCCAGAGCGTCACCAGGTCAATGAGGTCTCGCCAGAGGCTGCAGACCAGGCGGCAGTGCAGAAGTAGGTGGTGGGCGGGCACGTGTGTGAACAGCTCCAGCAGAATGTTCTCGGGCAGCTCGTTGATGCTGACCAGGGCCATGGCTGGCGGGGAGGGAGCGGGCGCCCACAGGCCTGTGAGGGCCAATAGTGGTTATGAGTCCTGACCAAGGAGGTGGACCCCTCAGATTTCCAGGGACCTGGGCCGGGGGCTCTTCATCCTTTCTTTTCTGAAACAAGAGGGGTTGGAGCCTTCTTCCAGTACAAAATATGGAGCAGTCACACACGTTGCGCACATTTGAAAAAGTGTAATAAAAATGTTTAATAAAGACTTTAGGGGTTAATATTTAAAGAGGACCCCCCCTCCCCCCAGTTAAAAAAAAATCACTTAATTGTAAGTTGTTGGGCCCAGTGAACTGGCAGACCTTGCCACCCATTGTCTGAGCTCTGCAGGAGTTTGTGGTCAGGTTATTTTAGCGCTGGGAATTCAGGTAGTCTGTGGGTGTAATAGATTTTACATTCTACGTCACAGCTTCATTGAGTCGTTTAGTGCTAAAACCAACTTCCTCTCCCCAAATTGCTCACGTTGGCCTGGAAGCCAGATGTGATAAAACACCCCAGTGAGGAGCACCTGCCACTCCATTCTGGTTGGGGCATCAGGAAAAAGCCCACTTTGAAATGCTCAGAAACTGCAAAGCCGATTGAGGGACCCTGAGCAAGACTGCCCCGGGGTTTGAATCCTGGCTTGCAGTGGCTAGCTGGGGAGCTGTAGGAGGAGCAAGCAACTGTCCCAACCTCAGCAGGGCCGGGAGGACTGAGTTAGTACAAGTAAAGCATTTAGCACCGGCTGGCAGAGAAGTGCTCCAGAGCATCATTACTTCTACTCTAAGGTTGGAGTGAACACACTCTCCAGTGGTTGTAGTTAGCTGCCCCCAAGAACACCTTCCTCCCTCTACACATGAATTGCACAAGGGTTTTGGAAAATTTACAGTGCCACCACCCTGGCCTGAATCTAGATCTCTAAGGGGATCCCCCAGGTGGGGGCGGGGTGGGGTGGGGGAAGGAAGGCCAGCCACTGTCACTCAGATTGACCTCATCTGCTCACAGGTGGGAGAGGGAGGGAATATTCCCCTCCCACACCTACAGTCTCTGAGGAGGCTTCTCATTTTCCATAGAAACTTGGCCAAAGAAGCCCTCCACAGACTTCTCAAAGCTACCATCCCAGCAAAAATGAGAGTGGGTGCACACTCTGGCTCCTGCCCAGAAAGGAGCATTTCAGCATGGCAGAGAACAATAAATAAGGTACTTGCACCTTGTGCAAAAATGCTATGACAGTAAAAACTCCGTGTGGCTAGGTCTTCTGTTTTTTCAGGCGGCACTCTAAACAATTTCGAAAATACGAAACCTGTCAGGTTTTAAGTGTTGGCAACTTCTAAAAACACTGTCTAGGCCAAATAAAAGTCGCTGCGTCAGAGTTAGAGGCGACTTAGGTACGAAGAGCTCCCTGCCGAGGCGTCCAGAGTCTGGTCTCTGGCTCCGGTCGCACGTTTTCACGTTATCAGCCTCCTTAGTTTCTGCCGTTTTTGGGTCTAGGGCGAACGAAGCCTGACTGCACACGGATGGGGCATGGGGTGAGGCCCCCCCCACCAACCGCGGGGGTACCTGTGCTTCCCACATGCCCGGCCCGACCTTCTCAACGACCCCTGTAGGCACGGTTACTACGACCATTTCCCGAGAGCCGAAGCTGAGACTTTGGAAAGCCCGTCCCAGGACCCGCGGGCGTGGGGGTGCCCGGAGGTCCCAGATCGGGTCGGGTCGCCTGGGCCGGGTCGCCACTAGTGAGGTGTGTGGCCAGGGTGTCGCTCCCAGGAAGCACTTCCCGGTGTCGGAGCCAGGGCCGGACCGCGCGGGATCCGGCCCCGCGCGTACCGCGCGCCGCCCGGGCCCCCACCCCGCGGCCCCGGACTCCCCGCCCGCGGGAGACTGCTTCGCCGGCTCAGTTAACGCCCCGCCCTCCGGTGTCAGACTCCCAAGCCCTTCCCGGTCTGGGCCCCCCGCCCCCCCCCCCAGTCCCGGGCCCCCCCCCCCCCCGCCCCGCCCAGTCCGTTCCCCAGCTGGGCCGCGACCTGGACGCGGGGCCTGACGCCCGGCGGGACCGCACCTCCGGATCGGCCTGGAGCCTGCAGCCTCCGCTGCGCCGTCCGCTGTCGCCCCGCCCCGCCCCGTGTCACGCGCCGCGCTCGGACCGCCCCCCTCGGGCTCCGGGGCCGCGCCCACCGCTTCGCCTCGCCCCGCCCACCGCCTACTCAGCCCGCAGCCCGCTTCTTCCGCTGCGTACCGCCAGGACCCTGGGGTCGTCAGTGCCGGGGTTGCGCGATGGACTCCGCGGACCTCGTAGCCTGAACCTGTCTTCCCCTCCAGGTGATCGGCGGCTCAGCAGCGGGATCCCACCGCTTCCCTTTGCTTTCTCCTCCCTCCGGGAATTCCGAGCCTTCTCCTAACCTAGTCTCCACCTCTGCGCGAGCCACTCCGAGAGGACTCTTCATCAGTTTCCTCTGCTGTAGGGAGGGAGGCGGGCCTCTCTCCAGAAGGTGATTGCTGAAACTCTGGGCTGGAGCGTGGCTTTTACCTTCACTAGGGCATGGCCTCGGAGACCTCAGTTTACTCAGAGGTAAAAACCTCTCTGCGTTTTTGTCTTGAATTCCTTTCTTCCTTCAACAAGTAATCATCAAGCATCTACTTAAGGCAACCAAAAAGGGTTGTGCAGGCTCTGCACTGCCCAAGGATGCCGGGCCCAGGCCACCTTGTTACCTCGTCAGGGCTGCATCTCCCCCAAGGGTGTCTTTTGCTAACTTAGTGAGTGGTGTCCCTGCCATGGCTGAGGCCCTACTCCAGCTCACTATTGAGATAATTAAACAGTACATTGAGCACCTACTGTGTGCCGTACACCGTTCTAAATGCTTTGGCTTCATCTAATGTCAGTAAAGCACTTGGCAGAGTAGGTGAGACACCAGGGAGCAGTGCCTGCGATGGCACTGTTGCCCCAGCATGAGGTGTATCCAGGGGTCACCCAGATATCCAGAGTCCGCCCCCCCCCCCCCCCCACCCCGTGCGCCAGCCTTGTGGTCCCGCCCCTGGAGGAAGCTAGCAGTACTGGAGGGCTGCAGGGGTGAGATGTTGGCCGCTCATTAAGGGGTCTGTACTAGGGCCCTTGTCCTGCCATAGTCTGGCTCCTGAAATGTCAACCATTCCCTGCACCTTGGACAGAAGCTGCACAGGCTCACCTTCTGCAGGTCCAGGGCAGGACTTCCCATGAAATTTGCCTTTCCTCCCAGAAACCACAGGACACAGTTGGGCTGGAAACACCTTTTATTTAGCAGCATGCAGCAGGGGCAGAATCCGAGCGCTGGGGTCCTTCCAGCAGGAGGGGGAGGCAGGAGTGAGGTTGGGCAGGGTGGGGAGGTTCAGGAAAGGCAGTTCCAAGGGTGGGATAGGGCATTTCAAGTCCCAGGGAAGCTGATCTAGGCATGGAGGTGGACAGGTGGTCCTTGAAAACCACCCACTCACCTCATCCAGGGCTTGCATGCCCCATTCTTAGAATCAGGGTCTAATCCTTCCCCTCACCTGCCCTGGGTTATCATGCACGGGATTCCAGGGATCTTTTGGAGATTCTGCCCCCACCTGATACCCATCTGACATCTGGGGCTTCACTGACAGTAAGGTCAGTCCAGACCTGGCCTGGCCCCGACTCCATCTTGGCCCTGACCATTTCCGACTACGCCTGAGCCTCTGGGTCAAAGTCACCTCTCCGAGCAGGTGGGCAGGGCAAAGAGCTTGGGAGTGGCAGAATGAGGCAGAGGATGGGCCAGCACAGCCCCTCTTCCACTCCCAGATCTGTCTGAGCTACATGGTCACCTCCAAACATCTGCACTATGCAGGACAGCCACAGGCTTGCCAGATGTCCTGACTGTCCCTGCTCCAAAGGCCCCCAATGGAGACAGGGAGAAAGGGCCCAGGAGGGGAAGGTAGAGACACACATCTAGGTTGGCATCTGAGCTTGGAGACCACTCTTGGAGGAGCCTGGGAGAACACCTTGCACCTCCCCAACCTCAGGGGCCCCATCTCTTAAAGGGGCTGACACAGGCCTCGAGGCCCCTGTCATCATTCAGGTTGAGACCTGGGGCCTAGAGCACTGGCCCCCCCCTTGGCATGTGAGGGCCGTGCAAACTGAGAGGCTCCACAAAATAGGCAACTGAGGGGCAAGGATGAACTAGGAGGTCTGGGGGAGCCTGATCCCCCTCCCCTTCCCTCACCCAGCCCTTCTCTGACAATAGTCAGGGTTTGGCGGATCAGGGCTTGGGGGGCGTCAAGGCAGGGGAGGCCCGATGGTGATGCTGCTGTTGGTGACCCTCGGGCCGTACCAGCCGGCCCAATAGTGAGTGTCCACGCCGCCGTGCTGAAACCAGATGTAGCGGACGCCGGGCGGGTAGTTGGAGAAGGTGTGAGAGACCTGGGGTGGGGGGGGGACAGGTGGAGGGAAGGAGAGAGGTCAGGGGGCAAGGAAGGGGCCAAGATCTTAGTGCTGGACAGGGAGTCAGCAGAACTGAGTTCTAGTCCTAACTCTGACTTTGGGCAGGCCACTTCTCCTCTCTGCCTCAGTTTCCTCATCTGTAAAATGGAGCAAAATCCTCCCGGGGCCACTCCACAGGATTACCTAAGTGCAGCTCAAAGGAACTGAAGGGAACTGAAGGAAACTCTGCAAACTGCCCAAAGATGTCCACTATGGTCATCCCTGGGCACGTGTGGCTATTTAAGTTGAAATTAATTAAAATTAGATAAAATTAAAAATTTAGTTCCTCAGTCACAGCAGAAACTGGCTCTTTTAAGCATTCCATAGTCACACGTGGCTATTGACTACCGTACTGCACAGTTGCAGACACAGACCATCTCTATCACTGCAGAAAATTCTACTGGACAGCACTGGTCAGACTGGCAAACTATGGCTCGGGGCCCACTGCCTGTTTTTGTAAATAAAGTTTTATTGGAACACAGCCATGTCCGTAAAGCTGCTTTCACCACACAATGGCAGAGTTGAAGAGTGGAGTAGTTGTGACAGAGACAACTTGGCCTACAAAGCCTAAAATATTTGCATCTGGCCTGTTAAGAAAATGTTTCCTGCCCCCTGGTCTAGATAGTAGTAATAACCGATATTAGTAACTAATAACAGTCAACCTTTTTGAACATGGCTTTGCTAGCATCATTTCAGAGCTCGAGCAGCTGAGGCCCAGGTCAGAAGCAGCAGAGCTGGGATCTGAACCCAGGCCTGTCTGACTGCAGTCTCGGCCTTGGGCGATATGCCACCTGCCCTCTTCCTGGCCCACACACCTCCCTCCACTTGGCATCGCTCTTCTGCTGGATCGTTGCCGGATCTGGCTGGAAGGTCCCCAGGGGTGCATGTGCTGATGACAGGAGCTGAACACACAGCTGGTACTTGGACCCGCAGTCTGGCCTGGCTGCGAACCTGCGGGCAGAGGGAGGGCCCATCAGGGCCTTGGAGTTGGGGGGCAGGGTGGGGGTGGGGCGCCTGAGTAGCAGGCCCCCCTCCCCCAGACCCTCGCCCCAGGCACTCACCAGTCCTTGACCTCGATGTCCGGCCGTGTGGTGTCCATCAGCTCCTCCCAATACCCTTCGGCCTTCAGGTCCACCACCTGGGACTTGAGGCAGGTGCTGGGGGCGGGCAGAGGGGTGGGAGGGGCTGGGGCTCAGCACTAGGGCACTGGGGGGGGCGAAGACTGCCCTTCCCAGAGCAGGAGACCCCGGGGTGAAGTGACTTGGGTTCCCCCCCCCACCCTAATAGTTCCCCAGCCTCAAATCTTACTAATAAGAAGTCACGAAGTATTTCTTGACCTGGTCATTGGGGAATTCCTTCCTCTGGTCTCTAGAGAGATCCTCCACCTTCCACTCATCACCTCCATTCACGTCCAGGCTCCAGAATTCAAAGCCCTCTGGCCAGAAAGCAGAATTCACGTCATAGGGAAGCCCCCCCCAGTGGTCTCTTTCTTGCAAGTGCCCCTTCCTCCCAGATCCTCTCCCTGGATCTCTGTAGCTGCCCTCAAGCCCCATGCTGTGGGACACTGCGTGGGACACTGCAGATCAGTAGCGGCTGTCTTCTATTAGATGCTTCCTGTGTGCCCAGCATCATGGTAAGGGATTTCCACCGGGAATCCCAAGACATGTGACCATGTGGATGACCAGATACCTTCTGTGATGGAGAACACTCTGACACCAGCCAGACAGATCTGATCTGGGGCTAGTCCCAGCTCTACCAATACTGGGCTGTGTGACTTTAGATAAGTTGCTTTCCCTCTCTGAGCCTTGGTTTTGTCCTCTGTAAACTGGAGTTAAGAACAAGAGCTGGCAAACTTTTTCTGTAAAGGGCCAAAATACTGTAGGTTTTGTGAGCTATATACTATCTCTGTTGCAGTCTCTCTCTCTCTCTCTCTTTTTTAAATAACCATTTAAAACTGCAAAAACGGCTTTTAGCTTCTTGGCCAGATTTGGCTCATGGACCATAGTATGCCAACTGCTGGTCAAGAACACGGCTGATGGGGAGCCAAGTGAGGCAGGCATCTGAAAGCTCTGGACAGCTTGGAGTCATTTCATTATCATTTTGCTTCAGAATTTGGCCCACATAATGGGAAATGAGGCACCCATCTCATCCTAGTGTTGAGCTGATGAGTTACACCACAGTAAGGGGAAAAGGGAGCTCTAGATGATGTAGAAGTTCCGTTTTACCTGTTGTAATATGCTGGAAAGAAGACTGGATCTCTCATTCTTCCATAAGTAAAGTCCCCTTTGCACTCTGGGGCAGTCCTAGGAGGCCTAGCCCTGGAGTCTGGGGTCTAGGCCCACAAAATATGGCTCTGACTTCCTGGTCTTGGGTCTTGGGCACGTAGTCCCAACTGGACAACAGTCCCTCTCCTAGGACAGGTCATTGGGGAAATGAGGGTGGAATACAAAAATGCCACTCTTGGCCTCAGTTTGCCCATCTGAAAAATGGGAGCGATAACAGCACCTACCTCTTAAGATTATTGTGAGAGGATTAAAGGAGTTAAACCATCCAAAGTGCCTGGCTCACAGTAAGTGCATAATGAAAGTCAGCTGCTATCATGACAGTGTGTGCGTTGGAGGCATGCCAGACCCACTCTGCACCCCACCTTCAGCACACGGGTTGTGTAGGAGATTCCTGTGGAGGCTGCGTAGGAAGTAGAAGATCTTCCAGTCGGCCACGGGCTGGTCCCAGTCCTCGGTGATGAAGCCCTCCCGCAGGCACTTGCGCTTCCAGAGCGTCACCAGGTCAATGAGGTCTCGCCAGAGGCTGCAGACCAGGCGGCAGTGCAGAAGTAGGTGGCGGGCGGGCACGTGCGTGAACAGCTCCAGCAGAATGTTCTCGGGCAGCTCGTTGATGTTCCCCACGGCCATGGCGTGTGGCTTCTGGACGCCCCCCTGTGGTTATTGAAAAGCTACAGTATAGACCGGGCCCCCTCCCCAGAACTGAGTATTTGCCATTTACGATCTCAGGAAATTCATCGTGCCTCTCCAAGCCTCAGTTTCCTCCTCTGTAAAATGGGGCCAGGAACGGTGCTAAAATGGTTTCAAATGACGTGACACAGCAGATGCTCAATAAAAGGTGATTGATTTGGGGGCGCCTGGGTGGCTCAGTCGGTTAAGCCGCTTGCCTTGGGCTCAGGTCATGATCCCTCTGCCCCTGCTCATGCTCTCTTGCTCACTCTCTCTTTCTCAAGTATAAATAAATAAAATCTTTAAAAAAAAAGGTGATTGATTTTACTGTCACCTCACAGCACCCTTTAAAGGACACTAAGGAGGCCCAGAGGGGTGCGAGCACCTGCCCAAGGTCACACAGATGGACAGAGGACGGAAAGAGTCTTCTCTGATTCTAGAGCAAGCCTTTTCCCATAGGCCAGTCTTTAGAGTGTAAGTAACAATGCGCAGTCCCGCAGAACCGTCCAGCAAGTCCTCAAACGGAGGAGGGAGAAAGGTTGGGGGCGGGGGGATAATTATCATTGTCTCCGACGGAGGTCCAAAGAGCTCAAGAGACCTCACGGCCGCAGAATAAATGATCGGCCCGGTTGGGACTCGAGAGGGGGTGGGCAACCGGGAAAGGCCTTTCCCATACTCCCACCTCCACCCCCGCGGCTGGGCTTCAGCCTCAGGATCCCCGGCGCGCCTGCAGCCTTCCCACCTCGCGCTGTGGCTTTAAAGTGCCCCCCAAAGCCGGGGCTCGGACCCCTGGACATCGATTAGCGACCCCAGCCCGGGTTCTCGCCTCCGTCGCCGCTCTCGACCGCGCCGCGCAGCCCCCGAGGCCTGGGCCTTGTCCGCACCGGGCCTCGCTCCACACACTGCCCGGAAACCGCCCAGTCCGCCCGCCCGCGGGGCCCCGGCCCGCCCGCACCCCCACCGCGGCGCTCCCGCGCCCACTCCGCCGGGTCACCTGCGCTCCGCAGCCGCTGCGCGGTCCCTCTCCGCGGTGGGGCTGAGCGGGCCTCCGCCTGCCTGAGCGGCAGCGTGCGGCCCCGCCCCGGCCCCGTCCCCGCCCCCTCGGCCCTCCCCGCGCCGCGCCCCCCATCGCGGCGTAGGAAAATTACCTGGAGGTGGGGGCGTCGGGAGGAGCCTCCGCCCCCCTCCCTCCTCCTGGGCTGCGCGCCCCGCACCCTCCATCTGACCCAGACTCGCTGCCCCCTCGCTTCCACCTCCCAGCAGCCACCCCTGGAGGGAGCTGGCAGAAGCCCCATTCGGATTCACCCCCCCCCCCCATTAAAAAACCCGACTCCCGACCTTTCCCAGCCTCCCGGGGCCGCCGAGGAACCGGTAGCCTCAGGCCTGGGGCCGACCGCTCCGGACTGCGGGGCGTCCCGGCGCCGGGCCAAAGGCGGGGCGGGGGCGGAGGCGGGGGCCTTTAAGAGGCGCGGCCAACCGGGCCCGGCCTAGACGCCGGCAGCGCCTGGACTCGCCGCCGCCGCGGGACTCTGACAGCCCCGCAGCCCCGCAGCGCTACGGCTCCTCCTCCTCTCAAGACCGCCCTCCGCAGCGATGGACGGAGACGGTGAACCAGGTAGCTGCCGCCACCCGGATCCATTCGCTCAGCCCGGGAGGGGAGACTGGGGCAGGCGGGCGACTGCTACAGAGAGGAGGCATCAGAGAGCGAGGCGGTCCCCGACACCCAGCGGGGCAAACTTTCACCCAAGCAAAGCCCTTGAGACAGTCTTAAAAGAGCGCAGCCCTCTGTTTGGCTGGAGGCCTCTAGAGGTGACAGGCTCCTGGGTCCTATTTACCACGGAAATAGCATAGGAGTAATCCCACGTTCCCGTCTCTCAGCTTCCTGAGGGTCTGTTGGGTCCGGGTCTGGGAGCCATCTGGGATGCAGGAGGCTGCAAGCCTTTTCTTCCATCAACTTCTTTCATTTGTCAGCTCTGGCCCTTGAGCTGCCTGTATCCCCATGGATTTCTTGGGGTTACCAGCCTCTCCCCACCCCATCCCACTCTTCCTCCTGGGCTCCCTTGGCTGGAGGGGCTGCTCTTCAACTGGGTGGCCGGTTGCCCAGTGGGGATCAGGCCAGCCTTGAGGGAGAGTTGGGGCATAGCTCTTGCCTGTGCTCAGGGCCCTCAGAGACTGCCCAGTCATCTTGTCTGGCACCAGAGACCCCCCCCTCCCCATCCCTTGAACTCCCTACTGAGCCTCTAGGGGTTGCCTGCTGAGTCAGGGTGGGAAAAAGACCTGCCTGCAGATTCCCCCACCCCTGCCCCAGCGGGCCCATCTGAGAGTGGGCCTTGCTTTGAGCAGGCCACCAGAAATACTGATGCATGCTCAGGAGGCCAAGCCCCTCTCCTCTAGCCCTGAAACCCCCAGCTCCTTCAGCCCCTGCTCCCCAATCCATGACCCTCTATAGGGTCCCAGAATGGGCTCCTGCGTTTTCCCAGGGCTCAGCTGTTCCCTGGACTCCAGGGCCCAATGCAGGTGAGTGAGTCAGCCTGGGTGGCAGCTTCCAGGGGCCAGATAACTTTCCGATGGCAACAATGTGGAGAGTTGTGTGTGCTGGAAAGGGGGGGGGGCGCTGTAATCAGATCTGGGGCCTGGAGTGCCAGGCCTGAGGCCAGAAGAGGGGACCGGGCCAGGTGCACCTTTCGGGGGAGCATCAGGTGTCCAGCAGGGCCAGGGCAGGGCAGGGGGAAAGGTGGAGAGGTGAGGACACTGGGCCCAGCTCCCCAGAGAGCTGTGGGCAGCAAGACAAACGGGTGATGTGGCTTTGGGGCCTGGCATTTTCCTCTCTGCACACCCATTGTTCCTGGGCGAAGCTAGTAAGCCTCGCGGGGACTCAGTTTCTTCTTGGCAAAAAAGAAAGGGTAAACCCCCACATCATAAAGATGTGGCAAAAAAAAAAAAAAGCTATTAATGAAGGAAAGTGTTATGCTCAATAAGATTCACTAAGTAAGATTTATGAGGACTGACTGTGCTCTGGGTTCTGAAGAAGAGGTAAACCCTGATTCAGCTCGAGGGTCTGACTGTGGGAGGAGAGACATACCACATTTGGTGTGGGGAGGTAAGCACTGGCAGGCTGGTGTCCTGGCAACACACAGACTTGGGTCTAGGCCCTGCCTGTTCCCTCCCCCACAGCTCAGCCTGTTTCTAGCACCGCCTGGGCTTTCCAGGCTCTAGCCCTTAGGACCCCCACCCCGCCATCCTAGCTCTGAGAGCACTGCCCCTCCTCCCCCATCATCTGGAGTGGCCCCATCTCCTCGCCACTGTGTCTTCCTCCTCCTGAGACACTGTGGGCTCAGTATCTGCTTACTCAAGGTTTTGATGGCCCAGCTGAGGCCGGCTGGGTTCCAGGAGACCGCCCAGCCTGTAGCTCCTGACATCTGCCCCCTCCTTACGATTTAGAGTGCCCTGGCCCCCTCCTCAGGGGATCGGAACATCAGCGCTTGTTTGAATGGCCTGGCCCAATGATTACTCCCATTCCACAGATGAGGAAACAGAGGGCTGGGGGTAGGTAAAAAAGGGAGTGAAAGGACCTTCGTTTCTCCAGCATTTATTATATCTCCTTGTTCCGTATACCTGCTCTCTTCTAGCGAGCCCCCACATCACACAGCTGTGGCTGGCAGGGGGTTCCAACCCCTGTGCTCCCTTCCCTTCAGCCTCAGATCCCCACAGCCCTGCCCTCGTACCAGCGGTGTAACCTTTGGCGAGTCAAAATCAAACTCATAACGGTGCCTCCAAAGTCAATACATTATTTTATCGAGGGCACGGTGGTTAATGGTGGCTCTGGAGCTGGACTGCCTGGGTTCAAGTCCAGGCTCCGACCGCTCATTTGCTGTGTGATCCCGGGTGGTTTCACCTCTCTACGCCTCAGCTTCCTCATCAATGAAATAGCAACGGCAGTAGGAACAGCCTCGCAGAGATGCTGTAAGGATTTAGAGTAAAGAAACTGCTTAGAACAATGCCTAGCTCTTGCTAAATGCCCAGGAAACATTAGCTGCTGACAGCATGCCAGGGAGGGTTCCAGATGCCAGGCACTGGGATGAACCAGTGAGTGTCCCAGACCCAGTTCCTGCCCTCTCACGCTCAGTCTGGTCCTGAGAGAGGTGTTTACAAGCCAACACACGCTAGGACAAGAGCTAGGAAGGACAGGAACTCCACAGTGGGACGATGTCGTGGTGGGAAGTCTGGGAGCACTCCCCGGAGGAGGCGAGGGGAGCAGGGATCTCAGGGGGTGGTGGGTAAGGATAAAGGAGTGGATGTGTGATACATGGAGGCAAGTTCGTGCAATAGATGGATGCCCTTATAGGAATATTACCAGTTGCTGTTGTCTTCTCAGGTTTACTGGCCCTGCAGGGACACCTGAGGTCTCTGAGGCCACTCTTGGGACTGGGGGCTGGTCTGTGGCCCTCACCCCGCCCCCACCCCCTTGGGTGGGCCTCCCCCACTGGGCACCAGTCTCTGGGCGCAGAATCATGGGGCCCAGCTGCGGATTGCCCGAGGCTGGGTGGGAGGCAGATAGCCGACACACGGGGGTTCTCAGGCTCGGAGGGGGACAGTCTGAGCGGAGTCACAGCCCCCCACCCCCGCCTGCAGAGAGCGTGGGCCAGCCAGAGGAGGTGAGCCCGGAGGGGCAGCAGGAGGAGGCGGGCGCGCAGGAGGCGAGCGCCGGGGAGGAGCGGCCCGAGGAGGAGGAGGAGGAGGAGGAGGAGGAGGAAGAGGAGGAGGCGGCCGCGGCGGCGGCGGCGGCGGAGGCGGCCGCGTACCTGGCCGAGCTGCCGGAGCCGCTGCTGCTGCGCGTGCTGGCCGAGCTGCCCGCCGCCCAGCTGGTGCAGGCCTGCCGCCTGGTGTGCCTGCGCTGGAAGGAGCTGGTGGACGGCGCCCCTCTCTGGCTGCTCAAGTGCCAGCAGGAGGGGCTGGTGCCCGAGGGCGGCGCCGAGGACGAGCGCGACCACTGGCAGCAGTTCTACTTCCTGAGCAAGCGGCGGCGCAACCTGCTGCGCAATCCGTGCGGGGAAGGTGAGGGGCTCGGCGAGCTCAACTTGCCCTGCCGCAAAATGGGCCGGAACAAGGCTAGCCCGCTTTGGAGGGCTCAATGAGATAAAGCCCTGGCGCAATGCCCTGCAGAGTGGCCCCAACACATACTGTACGTGTGGTTGCCTCCCTGGCCGCCTGTTCTCTGGGGGTCCCTTTTCCCGGGTCCTAACCCCCTCAGCGAGCTGGGGCAAGACCGGCCCTCGGCAGGACCCTCCCAGGAGGGAGAGAGGATCTGGGGACGGACAGGAAGGGCCTCCCGTTCTACCCGCACCATCACCTGCCCAGCCCACCGTTCAAGTCCCACGTTGCCCAGCCCTGCAACCGCCCCCCCCCAAAACTATAGGAGCAAGGGCCAGCCCTGCCACACCCTCAGCAGGGAGTGGGTGACCAGGGTGGGGCTGTCGTGTTCCTACAGAGGACCTGGAGGGCTGGTGCGACGTGGAGCACGGTGGGGACGGCTGGAGGGTGGAGGACCTGCCCGGAGACTGTGGGGTGGAATTCATCCACGATGAGAGCGTCAAGAAGTACTTCGCCTCCTCCTTTGAGTAAGGAGAAGGGGGATGGAGGGCAAAGCGGGGGAGAGGGGTCGCCACTCCCTCCTAACTCCAGTTCCCCAGGTGGTGTCGCAAAGCTCAGGTCGTTGACCTGCAGGCCGAGGGCTACTGGGAGGAGCTGCTGGACACCACTCAGCCGGCCATCGTGGCGAAGGACTGGTGAGCGGCTGTGGGGATGGGCCAGGACTGTGGGGAAGGGAAAGGGGGCGGGGTGAAGGAGGGAGTGTGTGTGTGTGTGTTGGGGGGGGCAACTTGGAGACGCTGCCCTGTTCCGGGGGCTGTTGCCTCCCAACTCTAGTGGTTGTGGTCACTTGGGCCAGGGGTTTTTCAGAAGGTGGAACTCCCCCTCCCTTCCTGATTTCTAAATGTTGGCAATCAAAAAAACAAAACATGTCACTGTGGGCTGGCTTTAGCCTCAGTGTTGGGTCTGGCCCACCTGGGTGTAGTCCTTGGGTTTGGACCTTGGGCGAGTCCTTTCTCTCTGTGGCCTCAGTTTCCTTATCTGTAAAACGGGGACCTTGGTAGTACCGGCCACCGGGTTAGGCAGAAATGAGAACCTGTGTAGCAGGCCCGGCCCACCGTAGCGGCTCAGCAGGGCGCGGCCGGCACTCGCTCCCTCCCTCGGGGCAGGTACTCGGGCCGCGGCGACGCCGGCTGCCTGTACGAGCTCACCGTGAAGCTGTTGTCGGAGCACGAGGACGTGCTGGCCGAGTTCAGCAGCGGGCAGGTGGCCGTGCCCCCAGACAGCGACGATGGGGGCTGGATGCAGGTGAGCCTAGAGGCTCCGGGTGGCGGGGCGGGGCCTGGGAACGAGGGGCGGGGCTCGTGGAAACCCCGCCCACGGAACGAGGCTGGGGCGGAGCTGGCGGAGAGGTGTGGAAGAGGGACCCAGGCTGAGAAATCGAGGGGAGGCTAGAGGCGGGAAAGTGCGCCGGGGTGGGGTGGCTGGGGGAGGCACCAGGGCCCTAACCTGACCCTCCTGCCTCCACTCCCCAGATCTCGCACACCTTCACCGACTATGGGCCCGGCGTCCGCTTTGTCCGCTTCGAGCACGGGGGTCAGGACTCCGTCTACTGGAAGGGCTGGTTCGGGGCCCGGGTGACCAACAGCAGCGTGTGGGTGGAGCCTTGAGTGACCCCCCCCCCTTCTCCAACCTCAGCCGCCTTGGAGGGGCAGAGGTCTGGGGTACACAGGTCTTAGTAGTTAGCATCCTCGCCTTTCCCATACTCACCCCCCACTCCTCTCCTGCCCCATACTCCAAGCCCAGCCCCCACACTGGGAAGGAGGGGTTGTGTTGGCATATATTTGCACCTGGAAAATAAGACGGGTGAGGGTATGGGCCTGGGCTGGTCCCACCGCTGAACCCCCTGCACCTACTGCAGTGCCTGCCACAAAGTGGGCGCTTAATAAATACTATTTGTCCAAGGAAGGAATGAATGAACAAACGGACGAATGAATACTTCTCCCTTTGCATCCTTCTCTGTCTCCTGAGGGCCCCTGGACGGCCTGGAAAAATACTTGGTGGGGCTCCAGCTGCTCTGGTTTCCAGGGGCCCTTGGGCCGGTGCAGAGCCAGCCAGGCCTGGGCCGGCTGGACAAAGGCTGGGATTGTGAGGGCGAGGAGTGGGGAGCTGGGCCTGGCGCCTGACTGACACCCAAGCTGCCCAGAGGCCAGGACAGGGTGTGTGGGGGGGGTTGTCCTCCAGGCCTCTCTGGATCCCTTGATCCCCATCCTGTTCCTTTCTGAGGGCAGGATCATTGGGGGGGGGGTTGGCAGCACCTCACCTAGAATACGAACTCTCCTGGGCCCAGGGCTGGATGCCAGTGGCCCAGGTGGGGATGGGGAGATGGGGAGGGTGGCTGGGGGAGCAACGTGGTGTCCCTCTTAGCTCATGCGCCCTTCATGCCATCCTCTCGGGCCTGGTGTTGGATTGAACAGGAATCATTTGCATCTGGTCTTTGGTCTTTTTCCAGGCCCTACCCAGAGGCTGGCCCCTTAGCACTGGTTTGAGCGGAAGGGGCAGGGGTGTGGTGCCCGGCAATCTTTCTGGCCTCCCCAGCAGCTATCACACCCAGCCCTTCCCCAGGACGGACGTTCAGCTGCTGGTCCTGGGGGTGACTGAGGGTCTCCACACAGCTGCTCTCCTCTTGGAAATGGTGACCAATAAAATCTCAGGGGCCCTCCAGCTTTCCTTTGATTCTGAGCCCTGGTACCACCTGCTGGTCAGATGGCATTGCGGGGTTTAAATTGGGCCAGCCTGCACCTGTTCATTGGTTCATTCATTCACTCACCACTCCTGAAGCCCCAGCCCTGGGGCCAGGCTCTGTGCAGGGCCTTGAGATTCCAGGGGTGAGGGAGACACTCTTTGTCCCAGGAAGATGGGGCACCCTGGGAAGAGATATCCAGTGTCCTGGGGGGCTCCAGCTAGAGTCCCAGCTCTGGAGGCATCCTCAGTCTCTCTTAGAACTCCCAATCTGAAGGTGGAGGCAGAGCCCCTGCCCCATGGGCATCCTTAGTCCTTTCTAGGGGATCTCACACATTCTGGTGGGGAAGGCACCGTCCGCAATTACCTGAGTTGCCGATCAGGGGAATTGATGCCTTGATGGGTTTGATGAAAGCAATGGAGGAAGAGGTTCACCCCCCATGAGTTTCTAGGTTTACACGGAAGAGTAATAGGCAAGGTAGTGCTCTGGGGCGATGGACTAGGATGGGCGTGTGGAGAGCCCCATGAGGGTGAGTTGGGAGAGGCCTGGGACCTCCCCCCCACCCCCAGCCGGGGAGGTTTCAGGAAGAGGCTGGATGGAGACTCAGCAAGCGTGAGAGGCAGGAGTTGCGACCAGGTGCCTGTGGGGACCGGATGTCAGGGCTGTGATGTGGGGGCATGGGAGGTCCTGCAGGTGGAGGAGCTCCCCCCACCATGGGGCAGTCAGAAGAGAGGCCCATGAGGGGTCTGGGGCTCTGGGCTGGAGGATTGGCAGTGTATGTAGCCAGCAGCCAAAGCCAAGGCCGCTGGTGAGGGCTGGGGACGAATGTGGAGTGAGGTGGGAGAGGGCATAGAGAAACCTCCGACTACTGCGATGGGGGAGCCAGAGCAGCCAGGGAGGCGGGGATGGGGGAGTGGGGAAGGATGCAAGCCCAGCCAGGCCACCTGCAGCCAACTGTCTGCTCTCAGAGGAGGGAGCCAGAAACCCGGAGACGAGATTCTCTGCCCTGAGACCCCAGGGCATGGGAACAACGGAGGAGACCTGAGGGGCTCAGATAATGGGGTGCTTCAGACCCACTGTCCCTGAGTGCCTGTCACTAGAGGCTAGTTGGATACAATGGTGGTATTCAGCTTGGGAAGACCCGACAGCTGCTCCTGAATTAAGCGACTGCCTTCGGCTTGGATCATGATCCCAGGGTCCTGGGATCGAGCCTTGCATCGGGCTCCCTGCTCGGCGGGAAGCCTGCTTCTCCCTCTCCCACTCCCCCTGCTTGTGTTCTCCCTCTCGCTTGGTCTCTCTCTGTCAAATAAAATCTTAAAAAAAAAAGGGCTGATGCTTCGGGGGTAGGTGGGCCAGCAAAGCTCACTGTGCATGGAGCACGGCCCGTCACACCACCCCTGTGACCCAGTCGGAGATGGGGAAGGGGGAGAGGGCATTGTTAACCCTGCTGTACACATGAGGATACTGAGGAGCCAAGGCTCGGCAGATGACTCATAGATTCATTGGAGAAGCAGAAGGTTCAGCCTAGGTGTAATGGGCTTCAAAGAGCGGGCACTTAACCACTAACAACCCCCCCACCCCCAAAACATTGATTATAGGACTGCAGATATCGCCTTCCTTCAAGGGAAAACCTACGATGTCCAGCAGGGGGCGCCTCAGGGCACTCTCTGAACAATGGGGAGTGTGGATAGCAGACAGGTTAGCCACATGGCTCAATGGCACCTGAACATTGGCTCAGGAGAGAGAGGTGCATGTTCCCGAAGGTCCTTTCTAATCAATCAGTGTTTATTGAGCACCTACTATCTGCCAGGAAGGGTAAAACCAGATGAGGACTCTGCCCCCTGGAATATATAGTCTAGACGGAGAAACCTAAATACAAGCATCTAAATAAATAATTATCAACACGATAGAGCCCTTAATATATATATACCAGGCAATACTCTGAGAGATTTATATATATTGATTCATTAAAATAAACTTATGGAGGGGAAGTATTATTACTTCCATTTTTACAGGTGAGAAAACTGGAGCATAGAGAGGTTAAGCAACTTGCTTGAGGCTGCAGAGCTAATATGTGGTGGAACTGGAATTCCACTTAGCCACTTAGGCACTTGACTTCTATAGTGAAGTAAACAAACTAGGGAGTGAGAGTGGTCATTTTGGTCAAAGTGAGCAGGGAGGACCTCTTTGAGGAAGGGACATTTGAAGGATGAGGAGAAACCAGCCATGCAGATATCTGGGGGAAGAGCATTGTAGGAGCAGTAAGTGCAAAGGCCCTGAGGTGGGAATGAACTCATTTACAGATCAGAAAGACTGGAGATCAGTGAGCAAGGAGGGAAATGGTCTGACATGAGGTTGGAGATATAGGCAGGCAATCCCGAGAGTTTCCTGAGCACTTACTGTGTGCTCTGTCTTACAAGGTATACATGTTTTAAGGAAAAACCTTTGCTCTATCCAGCAGGACCTGAGAATGGGGAGTTAGACAGGAGCAACTTACAGTCAAGGTGATGAAACCAAATTTCCCAAGAGTAACAGGATGAACAGGATGCTGCTGATAACAGCAGTGATGGGGATGATAACAGGCATCCATTGGGACCTGCTTGGGAGTCAATTCCTGTGCTAAGCACACAGGCCTCTTCGATCTGCTCAGTGGCCCTCTCCGGTAGATACAGATATTCCCTTTTCATAGATGAAAGAGCTTAGACTCCAAGATGTTGGGTAACTTGCCCGGGGATATACACAATGTGCAGATAGTCATGGCTTTCCAGTTTCAAATCCTGAGCTGAATTCCCAGCTCAGGTACTAGCCATTTCCTTCTGGCACAGGGTCAGAGATGGGCACATGCCAGGGGACAGAGCCGGGGCAGAAACTAGGGGCTCTGACGTGAGGAAGCATTGAAATGGTGGAGATGACCGGGGCTGTGAGGCTCCAGGCCTTTTAAGCATATTATTGATTGCCCCAGGCAGAAGGAGGGGATACTAAGTGTTTCTGGGCCATTTTGGTTATGGGGTTGGGGAAGGTAAAATGAATTTTCTTTCAGATTTCTTAGTGGAGCCTTCTATTTAGCAGTTTTGCAATGGGAAAACTTTCGTCTCCGATTTGTTTTCTTTGTAAACCTGGATTTTCGTAGGCATGGTTATATGTTCAGTAGTGGTTGTATAGGGAGGAAGGAAGAAGGGCCAGTTCTTCAAACCACCACTAGGTGTCAGCATTGTCAAGGGAGTTCCCAGGCTGGGCTCCTCTTGCCCAGTTCTCTGCGGAGGAAGAGGGTATCTGCAGAGGGGATTTGAATTTGGAGCCTGATTTATTGTCTGGGGCTGAGCCTGGGCCTGAGGGACTGGGCCTCCTGCCTGCTTTGGGGCTGCTCTAACGCCAGAGGCTCCTGAGAAATACTTACGATGCGAGGTCCTCTGAGGCTAGAGTCCTATAAAACTAGGAAGGACTTGTGGTCTCCGGGAATCCAGCCCCCAATAGGTCTGGGGGCCTAGACATCACCTTCCTCCCACCGCCCCTGCTAACTTGGCAGAGCCCTGGGCCTTCCTCTTGGCCCCTCGCCTGCAGTGAACACAGAACACCCAGGCAGATCCAGTTCTGATCTCCTGGTGAGTAATGACTTTGCTATTTTTTCCCCCGTAAATTAAACCTAATCTTGTGTTGACTCTGCTGAACAAGGAGAATAATGAAGAAGATTAAGATGAGATGGTATTCATTCTTCTCCAACAAAAGCCAATTAATTGTCAGCAGGATTACCGCCCTGAGCCAGGAGCACCACTAACTCTGCAGACAGGGTGGGCAGAGCTGGGGGCTGTCTCTTAGTGCTCCAGCAGGGGTCTGCTGGTGATGCAACAGGAAAAATTTCAGTTAGATGTAAGGAAGAACTGCCTGGATGAGAGAAGGGGCTGAAGCCAAGGAGGGGGATGTGAAGGGTATGAAATACGTTCCATACCAGCTGAGGTTTGTAGGACAAGGAGGAAGCTCCCTGGGAACATCAGGGAACATCCCTGCACTTA